TTTATAATAATAAAAATATATTTTGGAATTTGAAAACGAATTAATGAAATATTAAGAACTATAAGGCCACGTTAGTCTTATTTCATAATTTTTAGCAAAAGAAATTTTTGAAAAATAAATACAAGCGACGGATGAGCTGGGAAAAGAATAAAATGTAAAGTAAAAAATATTAAAGTAAAAAATATAAAAGAATAAAATTTAAAATAAGAGCAATAAGACAAGAAAAGAACATGAAGGGAAATAAGTCTAGTCATAGTTTTTTAAAGGTTTGATCTCGAAGCAAATCACAATTCTTCTTAAACTAATATTTGCAAACGTTTACATCGATTATTAGTTTGGGAAAAATGGCAACAGTTTTTACCATTCATTATTATGCCGAAAATAGTCTCCTCTTCGATGAAATGAAACAATTTTTATAGCTAATAGTTATTGCACACGCAAAAGAGTTTTCATTAATGACACTCAATTTATCCAAACCAAAAATGTACATTAAATCTCTAAAAATTAGCATAATGCAAAACAAAAACATATTTTGCGTTATGAAGCTAAAAATTAGCAGCATTTATTCTGAAACTCTGAAGCATGTACTTCATAATGATGATCATAATGGGCTATAAGCAGAGTTATGAAAAATCAAATTTCTTTTCTTTGATTCAAACATGTACACTTCTCTGTCTAAATAGTGTCATTTAATTCATTTTTCTAGTTTGTGCATTTTTAAGGTACTTATATTTTTCAAATTATTCAACTAATTCAGATTTCGAATAACGATTTTATTCTTTATGTGTCATGGCGTTTCAAAATATGTGGATTGCTTGTAATGTAAAAAAAGAAGGGTTAGAAAAGTTTTAAAAATAATAATTTCAAGTAACTTCGATAGTTTTTTTTAATTAAAAACTATTTTTTTAATGAATAATGATCTATATGCAGCAGTTTTCTTTTCAATTCTATTTTATAAAACAAAATGCTTTTTATTTTATTTTTTATTTTTAGTTTTGAATTTTTATTTTAAACTGTGCAATCGTTTTTCAATTTTCGAGTGAAATTTCATAATATTTATCCATTCGTAGTAAAAAAAAATGTCACTATTATTGACTCCAATGATGCTTAATTAACTGTGATATTATAAATAACTAATACACTAATGTAGGTACTTAATGGAGGTTTCAAATACGGGTACTGTAGTAATAGATTGCTACGCTTCTCTTGAAAGGGAAAGTGCTAATTTCTTTAATTAAAAAGTGATAGATTTTATGATTAATATTAACATTGATTGAAAATTTATAGCCATTAGTTTTAGAGAGACCCATTATAGCATTGTAAGATAGAGGGATTATAAAAAGAAATTTAGAATAGTGAGTTAGAAAATTAGAGCAATATTTTTAAAATTGGTTTACATAACTGATACGATAAATATATGTAATAACTTATTACATAACTTATGGGATAAAGTTATATATACATAACTTATAGGATGAAGTTATGTAAACCGATTTCGTCTTAAGGTTCTTTTTTATTTACTAAGAAGCTTCATGAATGAATGTGCTTAAATTTTCCTCTGTATAACAATATAGTAACAAAAAGAAAAATTATATACTGTAAAAAAACAATTTGGTGGATAAATTAATAATTTTCTTAGTATACTGAAATCCGATTTTACTTGACCTGATAGAATAAAACCGGGTACAACTAGAAATAATTAAATAAAGTCGTTTATCCTACTGAAATATTTATTTTTAGCAACAAATTAATGTTATGTTTCTCCTACAGCAAAAATCTTCAGGGGTTTAAAAATGAATGAACACAAGGAATATATTTTGAATAAATCGTCTGATTAAATAACGTCATAATCTGACTTTATTTAAATAATTAATAAACTGAAATAAACTAAATATATTTATTAAACTAAAATTACAAATAAAACTTTTACGATGTTCCTGTACAATACAGGCCTTATGTGCCCTCGTTTACAGTTGAAACATTGTAACCAATCTTCCAAGAATTTTATTTTGTAGTAATGTGGAACATTTGGTCTCGTATGACTGAAAAAGTCATGGTTATTATTCGAAATATCGCTGTCCTTCTATCGTTGTCTTTCTATTTCATTAAGATGATTTAAAATTTTAATTTGTGTCGACAATTCCTGGCGGTTGAAAAATTATCTTAAAACAATAATTCGAATTTCACCAGGATTTAATTTATAATAATAAAAATTACAGATATCAAAAATTAGAACAAAATCAATCATTCGAATAGATAACAAATGATATCAACAAAATGGCGACTTTGTAAGATTATGATGCCGAATTTTCACATTCCTTTCGTTTGACTTAGGAAAATCAAATTTGAATGGGAAAGGAAAAATTAAACGATCAAGTAACGAAGAAAACATCGCTAAGCAGAAAGAAAGAAAAAAAAAACTAAAAAAAAAAAAAAAAAACTGATTGTATTGAGTTTGTGAAGTTTTGTGTTTTCCAGATCTTTGAAGTTTCAGTTATACATAAATTATCATAAATAAATAATCATAATGCCGCATAACTTCTGTCAGTTTTCCTCCAAATGATTTGAAATTCTGACACAATAATCTTGAATAAATAAGATTTCGGAGAATGCGATAAAAGTAGGTGATTTTTTTTCCAAAGCTTACAGGGAGGTGTATTCCCTGAATAAAATAATGATATTTCAAAACTTGAATCATTTGTTAAAAATATTCCTAAATTTCAAAAATTGGATTAATTTGCACTTTTGTTCTCAAGAGTATTTTCTTTCTATGATTGAACGAATTCAGTTAGTTTCGTAAGTTTGAATAGATGCAGCCTGTTTTAAAAGATGGGTTTTTTACTGAATTAGAATATTTAACTTGAGTCAACTAGAATAGCCAACTAGAATATTTAAGTACCTTATTTAAGTTAATACAAAGTTTTCAGACTATGAGTATGGTACAATATTTAAAAAAAAGTTGGTATTAAAAAACATCGATTGAGTGGGAAACAATAGCACTTGATATTTTAAAACTTGCTTAGAATTTTCTTTTTCAAAAGTTGAAAACAATAAAACTGTGTAACTCAGTTCTTAATTTTATTATTGTAGATTATTTTCTTTTCTAGATTTTTTTAAACATAATTTACCCATGTTTTAATTGACGAAACGAATTTGCGAATTAAAAATTTCTTTTAAAAAGAACTATAAAAAACAAAGACGTTTTCAGAAATATTATGGAATAAATGGAAATGCTTAAAAGCATTACAATTATCTTTATTATAACATAATTGTATTGCTGTAGTTTTGAGACAAAAGTTTTCAAAAACTTTTTAAAGTATACAGCAGCGTATCTCTTATTCTTATTGGACTCTCATTCTTCTTTCAACGTATCTCTCATTCTTATTGGACGCTCATTCTTCTCTCAACGTATCTCTCATTCTTATTGGACTTTCATTCTTCTTTCAACGTATCTCTCATTCTTATTGGATTCTCATTCTTCTCTCAACGTATCTCTCATTCTCATTGGACTCTCATTCTTCTCTCAACGTATCTCTCATTCTTATTGAACTCTCATTCTTCTTTCAACGTATCTCTCATTCTTATTGGATTCTCATTCTTCTCTCAACGTATCTCTCATTCTTACTGGATTCTCATTCTTTCCTCAACCTATCTCTCATTCTTATTGAACTCTCATTCTTCTCTCAACGTATCTCTCATTCTTATTGGATTCTCATTCTTCTCTCAACCTATCTCTCATTCTTATTGGACTCTCGTTCTTCTCTCAACGTATCTCTCATTTTTACTGGATTCTCATTCTTTCCTCAACCTATCTCTCATTCTTATTGGACTCTTGTTCTTCTCTCAACGTATCTCTCATTCTTATTGGACTCTCGTTCTTCTCTCAACGTATCTCTCATTCTTATTGGATTCTCATTCTTCTCTCAACGTATCTCTCATTCTTACTGGATTCTCATTCTTTCCTCAACCTATCTCTCATTCTTATTGGACTCTCGTTCATCTCTCAACGTATCTCCCATTCTTACTGGATTCTCATTTTTCTCTCAACGTATCTCCCATTCTTATTGTTATCTTATTGTATAATATCGGTGGCACTGCGTCAAAACAATACTCATGTACCACTTAAGCGAATGGCAGATCCGTTTTATCGGTGTGGTAGCATTGGAATTTTCTTATATTAAATATATCTATTATTTATTTTCTTTATTACATATTATTTATAGATATTAAGTTGGGTGATTATCAATGATTAATTTGTTTATAAAAATGGTGAAACATATTAAAAAAGCATTTTAGATATTTTTATACATTAGATATATGAGATATTTTTACGTTTCTTCAAAATTTTAGGATTCTCTTGTTAAGCCGATCATTAGATCAGAAATAATTTAAAATTATCATTACATTATGAAGTTTTTTTCAACCCTTTATAAGGCCTTGGGAAGTTTACTTCCTACCAGCTTTATTAATATTTAAATTTTGATGGAAAACTATTTTCTGATCTACAAATTGCGCAACTACCTGTTTATAACTTCAGAGAACAGCAATGGAGGGCTTTGTTTACATAAATATGGGTGGCAGTAATGGTTAGCGTGGGGTCAAAAGCGAGATCAACAGTGGGGATTTATTTTCTTTTGAGCGCTATCGAGTTTATCGAGTTTATTTATAGTTTTAAATTAGTAATTTATAAATTTCATTATCATCGAAATTCAAGACTTCTTTAAAGTGGATAATATTTTGAAAAATCCGTCTCACCAAAAGAGTGGTCTTTAAATCAAATTTCATTTCATGTAGTAAGCTTAATGAATTTCTTTTTATAAACCAATCTTAATCGCAAAAAAGTAGTTTGACGTAACATAACTGAAAAAAATGACCTTATATGTAGTTATTTGAGTGTTAGAGTTGTCAGATTTATAATTAGCAAAGTAGGATTATCTTCCAATAATGGCTTTTATATATGCTTTCTGGGGTTCAAACATTTTTTTCCTTTTTTTCCACAGACTTCGATCAAGATGGTAGACCGGATAATATTTCCTTCCTGATCAAGAGAATAAAAGTCCACACCACTCCTGATGATCCTGATTACAGATTCGTGGGCAATTATGGGGTGGAGAAATTCCTCGAGCTCTTCTCCGAGGATGATTATGATGCCTTTTGCCTTGCTTACATGTTCACATATAGGGATTTCGAAGGAGGAACTTTAGGCTTAGCTTGGACAGGAGACTTGAAAAATGCGGGAGGTGTCTGTGAAAAAAATGGGGTAAGATTTTTATTATTATTGCTAAAATGAAATGTTCTTAAGAAACAATAATATCATAACTTGGTGCAGAGGCATTAAGGAATTAGAACGAAATCATTTGAATACTTTCTGAGTTATAATATTTCAAAAGGGCTGTTAAGGAATTGGAATGAAATCGTTTGAATACTTTCTGAGTTATAAAATTTCAAAAAGGCTGTTAAGTAATAAGAATGAAATCGTTTGAATACTTTCTGAGTTACATAAAATTTCAAAAGGCTGTAGTTTTTGGGAGGCTCTTTAATTTTAATGTTTCTAAGTTCATTAATGACATAAGCATCATTAAACCATTATTCTTAAGCAAATTTTTTGGTTTCGTAGGTTTGAATTACCTATACCATTCTTTTCGGACAAATCTCTTTGCTGAATATTTGTTTCCGAAAGTTACAAGTTTACTGAAGGAGTGAGGTTTAGAGATAAGAGTATCAGATTAAGAGCGCCAGAACTGAAGGAAATTTCGAAAGAGGACTTTAAAAAATGTTATTGAAGTTTTAAAAGTCGAGTACAGAGGGATATGAAACATATTAATTTAAACATTTTAGGGAGTTATTATATGAGTTCTGGAAAATTAGAAGAACTTTTTCTAATAAGATTTTTATAGTTATTCATTGTTAAGATCAATAAGAAAGTGCAAAAATCATTAAACACAGCATTTTTTTCTCAATAAGATTAGAATGCACAGGCCTTTCATTTGAAACTGCCTTGAACTTTCTTCCTCAAATAAATTGATTGTAGAGTATTTTAATCCATCTTTTACTCTTAGTAGTCGCAACAGCGATTGGTCAGTTATTTTCGTTATTTTCGCATATATTTCGAAACCCTTAATGTGCATAACCCTTTAATTTCATTTTATACCCGGATTTGAACAACTAGCCGATTTTTGGGTTTACGATGTTAGTTTTCAGCACCGTATGCTTGAAACTTTGATCTTAACCCAAAAGACAAGGGAACTCCTAAATAAAGCATTGAGACATACCAGCTTTCGTGGAAAATTTTTGACGAAACTAACATGCAAGGAGCGAAAAATTCCGAAAAACTCCCATGGTTATCTAGACAGCAAGATAACTCTTACCCGTGACCTGTCGACAGCTGAAAAGATTCTACGTCAGCACTGTGGTTGATGCGAGCAGAGAGCAAAATTCGTATCAACCAGTCACGGATGGGATTCGAACCTGGGCAGCGTCATCAGGAGGGTCTCTAACTTTGCAGTCTCTGAGGATCTGCATAAGTTTGGTTCACATTTGCTTGCTATGACGCATAAAATATGTATTAAGAGTGGATTAAGGAATACTATTAAACTTGCCTCGCCTTTTTTATTGATACGTTGTTATAACGCGTCCTTATACACTTTGTCAATCCCTGCGTGAAATAAGATTAAGAAAATTCAATATCCAAAATGAAATGCGTTTAACTTTCCAAGGATTTTCCCTTTCTGTAAAGGGTACTTTAACGAAATCCATTAACCTAACAGGTCGTCATCAAATACCGGAGAACAGCGGAACATTAATATCTTCAAAAATTGATTTCATTAATCACTGTCATACTTAACTACTCTCTAGAAAATTCCGCTATTACAGTTGATTCAACGTTCAATTAATAAATTATCCAAAGTAGTTTGATGAAGATTCACCTCAGTAGATTAGAGAATTTAGCTTTGCTTATTAGCCATTTATTTATAAGAGTTATTATACTTTCTACAACTTTTTTTTATTAATTTTAGGGCTTTAGAAATGTTGGATTTTTGTATACAAGAAAAGAAAATATTTAATAAAATATCGAAATTATTTATTTTTGTAATAAAGATATTTTTTCCGTTTTCTTTTCATTACTCCAAAAGTAAGATTTTGTTTTAATGCATAGCTAATAGTTTTTTCGCCTTTTCCGCCAGATTTTTCCAAATGGTAGTATTAGAACAATAACAATTGAAAAAGAGAGAGTGAGAGAGAATACACCCTTGTGCAAATTAATTGAAACAAACTCAATAAATTCAGAAAACTAAGAGAAAATGCTATTTTATTTAAATTTATACAAACTCAAAAATTTTTAGTACATAATATGATCTCCACGACACTTTATTAACATTTGGACACGATTCGGCATGGATTCCACTAATTTTTTACAGTCATTTATAATATTTGTGTCCTTGTACCACACATGAATTAACGCCGTGATTAGCTTCTCCATAGTTGTACAGTCCATATTTAATAGGCGATTCTTGCATATGGCCCAGAGATTCTCAATTGGGTTGATATCCGGAGAGTTCCCTGGCCATTCCAATGTCTCAATTTAATTCTCAGACATGAATTTCTGGACAATTTTGGACGTATGGCAAGGAGCTAAATCCTGTTGAAAAATCCCTGTTCCATCAGGGTATCGTTTCTTCAACTCTGGAACAACTTTTTTACCCAGAATAGTAATGTACTGCTCAGAACGCATCATACCGTCAATAGGCTGCAAAGGTCCAACCCCATAGTAACCGAAGCAACCCCAAAACATCTTCTTTAAAAAACACGAAAAAAAGAGTTTGTTTCAATTAATTTGCACAAGGGTGTACATGTTTCGTAAAAACTGCGTAAAATGTTTTTTTCGGTGGAGTGATTAAATTATTATATGATATATAATTAATTATACAAGATTCTCTAAGAGCTGAGTACTTAATGCTGGTACGAAAAATCATATTGATTATTAATTCATTTGAAAGCAGTGATTAAAATGATTTTCAAAGAATATCAACATAAAAAAAAGCCATTCAATGCAAAAATTCGATTCTCGATTCGAATCAATCCATTCGAGGGGAATCAGTTATTGGAGTTCAGGTTTAAAACTCGTGAATGAGATCCAGAGTTCAGCTTAACCAGTTTCCGGGAACTTCATTATAGCCGTTTTTAATGAATTTTTTAGAATAACTCTTAAAAATTATATTGAAAAGTATACATTGAAAATGAAAACTTTAAGTAAATCTAATGAATCACTAAAAACAACAAAACCTATTTGGTTATATTAGGAAGAAGAGAAATGTTGTAAGGTGATAATTAGAAATCTCTCCAAGTCTCATCTAGCAACTAGGTTTTTGTGTTTTTCATCCCACCTTCCTCATTCCAAATATTTATTATTTTTTATTGACGTTAATGTTTTTTCTCTCCCCTAAATGTAATTTGAGATACTTAATGTGGTATACTCTTTTGATTCATTTTGACGCATGCTGCAATGTGCTTTCTAAAACTGCTTGAAAGTTCTACCTTTTATATGGTGAAGTCAGCAGCGATAACCAGCTCAGCCTTGGACCTTGTCACTTGACCTGTATCATTTGAAGTATGGCGCTCTTGCAAATACCTTCAAATGAAAGAATACTAAAATAAATTAACCAAAATATTAGTCAATTTAAACCTTCAGTTAATCTCTAAATACAATAATTTGTATCCGGTAATATTACAGAGATTGAATTCGTGGACTGAGTCAACTGATATAAATTGTTCGCTGAATTCTAGTGCTGTCCAATAATAAAGTTTCTCGGAAATATTAAAATTTCACGGTTTTCCCCGTTTTGAAGCAGGAAATTAACATATCATAAAAACAAAAACTTATTAACAAAGATATTATCCTGAAATATCTTTGTACCCACATGGAGAAAACAAAGTCTGGTTAAATTACTGTACTGTATAGTAATGACATTACTGGCAAAAAATTTAAAAAAAAACAACAACAACGCAATTTTGGTTAATTGAACCAAAATAAAACAGTATTTAAACCATTCATTTGGTAATTTTTCCTCTCATATGGTCGCATTACCACACATTTAGTAACAAATACAAAACTGAAATGTAAATTTAACCGATAAAATGGTTTTTATGCTATGATCTTAGGTATCCGAAATTACCAAAATTTATCACATTTTGTAAAACTATATTTTATTATTAATTTTACCAAAATCATTACTAAAACGATTTGGTAAAAATTACCGCGCTTTTTGGTGTACCCATAGAACCAGAAACACTAAATTTTACCATATTCTGATAGTTTTGACCATACTTTTTATTCTTAGTGAAATATAATTAAATATAAATAACTGTATTCAGATTTATATACGTACATGAAAAAAGGAAAAATTATACTTTCTGATAATCCTTTCGGCGTTGAATCAACCGACATATTTTTCGATAATTAAAATTCATAATGAAATGTTTGTTTGTTTTCAGCACTACAGGGGAAGCCTAAAGAGCTTAAACACCGGTATTATAACATTGCTCAACTATGGAAAACATGTTCCTCCTGTTGTATCTCACGTCACATTGGCTCACGAAATTGGACATAATTTTGGATCCCCCGTAAGTACACTCTCATTTTTAACCATACTATTGAGCAAATCTCCCTTAATAAGGTGTTAAATTGAACCATAGCATTGTATAATAAAGTTTAGGATTGTTCAATTTCCGTGATATTAAGGTTGTGGTTCAACTGAAGCTGGGATGCCCTCCCCTCTGCAGGGGATCAAAATTGTGATGGCATGTCTCCATAAACACACTTCGAACTGGGTACCATTCTCAAAATTTATGAAAGTTCATGTAAATTACTTATCACAAACAAAGCATTAATATATGAACAAATTTCTGTACAACATTAAATGATTAAAAATAAATCTGAGCTTTCGGTAATTCAGTATATTAAACAAGAATTTCTTTATTTTAACTCTATTTAACACACTATTATATATATATATGTTACGGTGAAACACCGAAATCTAGAGAATGTTGACGTTCACCAGTGAATGTCAACATTCACGCAGTCGCTTGGTGTATGTCCGAAATATTCGCTAAATACCCTTATTTCTGACTCTCACCGGTGAATGTCAACAATCACATAGTCGCTTTGGTGAATAAGATTAAGAAACATAGT